AATAAAAAAGAGGCAAAGACTAGACTAACAGGATTTTGTCCTAGTCGGCCTCTCAGCCTTAGCAAATCGAAATAAAAAATATGGGGGGGTAATTTCGCAAAACGACGCGAACTGGATCGCAGGATTTGTTTTTCAAAGAAATCAATTCAATAGCTACAAGCGACTTACCCCACCCTTTCCGCGCCACGGTCCTTGGGAGCGGGATGAGGCAAACATGATAGCCTATAGGTCTTGTCCTTATCATCACAGTCACTAAGTACGCATCCCAGCACTTCCGCGGGACGGGATGTTGTTGACGGTCATGAAAAAAAGAGATCGCCGCTTATCCATGGATTGCTCGTTGATATGATACAATGCCCAGTCCTCAAGGTTTCACTATTGCGAGCCATTACTTGGAAATATGGCATGATTTTCCCATGTATACTCCAATAATTCGACGCGACCCTCTTTCCTTTGGCCCCTCCTCGGTGAAGTGGATATACTTGTGCCGCTCGGCAACCTCACGTGACCATTGAATACGATACCGGTACGTGTTTTCTGGTTTGGCGTTTATAGTACGGGGTACAGAGTACCAGGATTACGCCCAAAACATGTGTTTTTTTTTTTGGCCACAGTTTGGTTCGATATTCGTTATATTGGCTGGACTTTCTGGTTACTCTCCAATTTCTTTGCTCATTCTCCACGGGATCGCGATCATTACCTCCACATGAGATTTATGCTCTTGTCGATCATCTCTGGTGGCAATGTGATCAGCTGCTGTGTAGGTAAGTGGATAAAAACCAAACCCTCGTTCGATTTACGAACTATGTACGTAGTACTTTCGTATGTACATACAGGTGGTACTCTGTACAAAAAAACCAACAAGAACTTGAGGATTTTTGCTTTTGCCCAAATCCACTACTCTTCAAGCTAAGCAGAAAAAAGGAAAAAAAGGCAAAAAGAGAGGGGGGGGGGGAAACGCCAACTTGTGTTCTCTCTTGCCGTGTTCGGCTGACGAACCTGTTGTTCGAGCAACCCAAGCTAAAAGCTCGACCCAAATGTGGATGCTCAAGGCCCATAACATCGCGAACCAAGGCTTCCTTCGTGTGGGGCTACTGCATCGACGATCAAGTGGGCGCTCAGCTCGCTCCAAGTCAAGAAACTGACGGCGGGGCTTGTCGTTTTTTGCCCCTATGAAGAAACGCAAAACGTGCTCCCCATCCTCCACTTTGCGATGATCTTTTCTTGGCTAGGTAATCGGGTGCTTTTCTAGCTTTCCTCACCGGGCCTTGACGTGACAAGACCCCAAACACCTGCATTAGAGGGAGGGGCAAAGCTGTCTGTCTGCCTGTCTCTGGTCGTAGAATTACCTAACCTATATTTTTAGACAAAAAAAAGAGGAAGATGTGATTTGAAGTCCACTTAATGCAGGATGCAGGAACGTGAAGAAAAAGCGCGAATTCCCCGGACATTTGATACCATGAAGGGTTTAAAGCCCGGCATTTCAGATGAAGAGTTCGGGATCTGTATCCTTTATCCGTGGGCCCCCAATCACAAGTATGGTTTGTGCTTTCAATCTCCCCCATTCCCCTCCCCCTCTCCCCTTCTCCACGGACGGTGATCCAAAATGGCCTCTGCTTTCTCGATAGGGGGTTCCCCCGAGCGATCCGTCTCTGCCGCCGAGCGCCGACCGAGCTAATTCTGGAGAACTAGAGTGACGGGATCTGACCAGAGTAACCAATCTCCAGTTCCGAAGGCCTCTTACGAAACATGCACAATATTTATCACCCGACCCTGCAAAAGCACACGCACACTGCATATCAGCATCGGCTACCCAGCCCAAACAGTATACATAAATCCTTCCTATCGAATCATCGCTTACGAGAGCCCTAGCGGATAAGATATCATTCACCATTTCCCCCCAAGTTCCCACTCCGATTCAGCCAAGGATCAAACCATCTGCACGAGGCTTGGAAGAACCAAAGTGGAAACCGAACCAACCACGAAAAAAGAAAAACAAACCACCCACCCTCAATCCTCATCTCATCTCCCAGTCCCCATCTTTCCCGCGCCCCGCGGGAAGACTGGGTTCACCTCTACGTCAAGCGGGACTCCGAACGCTAATATTCACGAGTCACGACCAGAGCTTCCAACACACGGCGCCACCAGTACGTAAATAACGATAAACACCGTGGCTGTCAATGGAAGGTCTAGAAAAAAAAAGTGGCCGCGCCATCGCGTTCTAGCGCATCCCGGGATCTGGTCCCTTTAATGAGGTAAAAAGCCAAAAAAAAAAAGGGGGGGGGATGGATGCTGGACTTATTACCCAGGTCCAATTGCAGAGCTCAGAGTGGATGACTTCATTTAGGATATACGGGCTACTCTTTCTTTTTGTCATTTCATTTCATTTCTTGATTTCGTCGCGTCTGTTCCATCGTCCATGCCTGATCGGGAAGGAGAATTGGACTCGGCTTGTCGTTTCAGTACCTCGTAACCGTACGAACGGCCCGCGCGGGCCCCGGGGATTGATAGATATCATCAAGTGACACATGGACACGGGATCTGTTGGTCCGTGAAGAGCAAAGCAAAGCTTCTAGAGCTTCGCATCGCATTGCAGTACTATATTTGATACAAGGCTTGGTTTGTTCTGTAGACGATCTTCATTTCGGTCGATATCCGTGGGTGCGAGGACTCCATTACTACTAACTATATGAGAGCAAGCTCTACGGGGTACGGATGGGTAGCACCATATTTAGATGCGTGGTTTATCAAAGGTGGATTTAGTGTTGTGGTGCAGGCGGATACCTCTAGGCAAAAGGGGCACTACGTACTTTTGTCACGGGTGTACATACCTGAGTTTTGTGGTAGTCAGGGAGACTGGACCGAGTCAAGGTCCGCAGCTTGAGGTATCAGATGGATTCAATATCGAAAATTTCCAAGGTTGAATGCAAGGTCACATGGACTCATTCGATGTTGTTTTCACGTGGTTCATGAATTGAACGTCAATAATTGAGTGGTTCATTAGTAAATTATCAAAAGCCAAGTGGATATTTAGAACCTTGGAATGTGTATGAAAATCAATCAATAGATCCATACCTAGCCCTGGAGGTATAACCTTGTAAATGCTTACAGCCTTTACCCGTGGGCCTATGTATGTACCTGAAGAAGGTTAGAATCAATTACCATGGTGCCCGAGGCTCGTCGAGATACTCAGGTCAACAGGTATCGATCTAATCCAGCATAGGTATATTCCGTTCATGTACCCGTGGACATATTGTTGCATCCGCCTCCTTGACTTTGGAGAAGCAATAACCTTAGAAACGGCATATCCTTCTTTCAAACATTTGAATGTTTGAAAGATTGAAGTTTCGGTGACATCTGGAATGATTCAATGTTGAAGATGAGCATCGCTGCTACATAAACATGCATACCTATGTAAACATTGAAGTACTGCTCTACCAAGTGCCCACATCAATTGATGCATCCAGATGTCCAGATGTCAGGTATGCTTTTCAAATGTTCAGGACGATGCGCAAAGTGCATACTAGCACTCAAGGTAGATGTGCAGTAGAAAATTCATGACTATGCATATTAGCACTGGTATATGTAATCACCGATTCAGCACTTGAGTCAACCCGGCTGCCTGTTGACGTTGAGCAGTCAATGCGGGATGATGGATACTGTACTATATATCCGTGGATGTTGAAGGTTGACATTTCAATATTCAATGTTCCAAGGTTCCGACAATTTCAAGTCTGAATGAAAATTTGAATTCTGGCTTACTATGTACATATTAATTGATGCTTGGTGTATAGATCGGCTGTCAATAAACTTTTTCTTCAGAGTGAAAGGTGTATATATTCATGTGGATGAAACCGCGTGAGGGCCAGACAAGGATCAGGACCCCAACCTGCAGCCCTTTCCCCTCACTTAGCAAGACCTATTCAAAAACATGAAATCTTACAACATTGAATTGATTGGTATCACAGCAATCACAAGTTCAAACCCAAAAAACAAATGTTCCCTCGATCTCGATCTCTCAGTCTGAGGTCAGCGACACCTATCCGAATACTGCGGCAACCTGTCCACGCGCATTCGACAGATCAAAGTAAGCTCCCAACACCCAACAATACAGAAGTACTTATTGACGCCTCCAAGCGCCCGCCAAATAACGTTTATCCCACCCATGTCATCGAACCCTGAAAAGGAACTCCGCAATCCCAGAAAACCTCCCTTTGACAGGACACCTCATCCTTGGTTTTCCCGAAACCACCCCCTTGCATGCGTGGATCGCTTCGAGATGCGCCTGGCAGCGTCTTAATGTAAGAGTCAAGATGTGACCTGTAGAATACACATGGAAAAGCCACCAAAGCGAGCAGTGACAAATGCTTGGAAAGGGAATATGTTCAAAATCTTATTTCTAAATGGGTTGCCTGCATCGTTTACGGGGGACGGAAGTATGTGCAGAGGGGAAGACGGAAACTCTGCTTGACTCGTAGATACGAGCAGGTAAGATTGAAAGTCAGTAAGGTAAAGTACAGCGAAACGGAAAGCATTTGTTCAAATCAAATCAAATCAAAACATTCAATGTTTCGAACATTCATTTGAGTCAGTGTCCAGCTAGGGCGGCCGACGCGTCGCGTTCGAGGATTCCTCACGTCGAGCTGAGTTTGGGATCGATGCCTTCATACCACGGGATAAGGGACAATTTATCCCTATCGCGGTGTTGGGGTTTAGCTGGGAGGGAGGGAAGGAGGGGGTTAATAAAAACAGTTGAGCTCGTTTCGTGTTTATTTCTATTAATCTATTCCCTCGTATACAAGGACCGCGAAGTAGCACAGACGATACTCTTTCATCCCATATTCTTGAAAAGGCCAAGTCAAGTCCGATTGTCAAGTATGTGACTCGATAAGCACTTCGAATAGAATATTTGAATGTGACGATCATGTATGCACTGTACTAACCATGCAACCAGACCCGATCATTCAACCGAGCCAGGAAAAAACATCTCAACACACAAAATGAAGCTGACAACCTTCCTCGCTGCGCTCTCGCTCTCCTCATTCGCGGCCGCAGCGCCAGTCCCTGTCTCGGGCAACGCTCCTCGAGGACTTCTTCCATCCCCCGGCGCTTTGATCGAAAAGATGTTTCCACACTCGGGTGTGCCTCAACTTGTGGGGAAGGTGGATAAAGCGACAGGAATTTGTACGTGCTGCGCTGTTCTGTACCGTGTCATGAGACATTTGAAAAGGTGAACTCGAGCTAACGCGTTCCGTTTTTATAGAAATGACGAGTATAAAGGGGATATGAAAGAACAAGAAGAGGCCACTCTAGTTGCAGACAGGAGGTGGCGAGACAATGATCAAGTTCTTGATCTGAGATTGATACCTGGAGAATCTTCAAGCGAAAACGATATTGAGGCGGAGATGAAAGTATAGGAAGCGTTGCAACGATGTGCTAGCGTGTCATACCGAATAGAATATAATATCTTTCATTCAAAGTAATTATGCTGTATAATTAGAACATGCCCTCCATATCCAGATCCAGGAACTCGGGGTTCCCAACCGCCATATCGGCAGCGTTGAGAACATCGTCAATGGCATCCATGCCAGCGGTACCCTCATCTAACCCCATATCTTGACCTATACCACCATCCATGCCCGCCGCCGCAGCAGCAGCGGCATTATCGAGCATCTGGTTAATATTCTCGGAATCGTCGTCACCAACAGCACCACCCACACCAGCAGAAGGTTCAAGATCCATGCGATCTGAAGCATCGACGCCAAGATCCATATTGTGAATGATGCTGCTTACATCGATATTTGGGACTTGAGCTGGGGGCGTAGTCAACATGCTGACGCGGCGCCAGAGACGGACAATGATCTCCGCGCGTAGTGGATCTTTCTCCGAGATCTTGGGAACATTATCGTGTTGAAGAGCTAGCGCATCACGCAAGGTCAGGATCTGGCAGCGAGGAAGAGCCTCCTTGGTTGGGTCGACGGGATGACAGCTGTTCTGGTCCACGGCGAAGGATTCAGGCATCGGGGCGCTGGTGATTGTTGCGACGATATCGAGGGCCAGGTCGCCGCTGCCGGTCTCGGTTTGCTGTTTTAGTTCATCGAGTAGGGCATTCAGGACTCGAGAAGCACCGAGGATGCGGATCCCTGCTAGTATTTGGCGATGCGAGTAGGATTGTGGTGCCATATTCATGACCGAGTTTGTACTCCACATCACAAGTGCCTGTAATGTGTTGCGGATGCTCCCTGGGAAGCCACCCACGGTTTGTGTGGACCATCCCTCCAGCTCGGAGCGGTGACAAGCACCTACTCGGCGGAAGGCAAGGTACGGCTCTAGCGCGTCTAGGATTGGTTTAATATCCGAGCGCGATTGGTGTCGAGTTCGAACATCTTTGAGACGTTCTTCGAGAGGGCGGGCAGTGATGCTGAGAACCGTATGATGGATGGCTTGCGCCTCGCCAGAGATGGAGCTTGGCTTAACCAAAGAATATAGCGTCCGTAAAGGGATTGCGGGGTCAGTCTCTGACTCCCAAATGTGATTGCCCAGCCAAGTCAAAGCGAGCACTAACGATGGCAACAAGAAGGGTTCAAGCAAATCTGGGATCACGTCAGTTCATAACCATTCATAAGCCCGCGGCGACTGTGGATTGATCTTACATTCAAGTCCTCCCTTTAATGTATCGAAATCCATCTTCCCTGATTCACATGCTCCAAGACTTTGGTCGAATAATGTAGCCACAAGAAGGTAGAATTCCTGTGGACTGCAAGATGCCATGGTCTCCTCATTGATACCCTCGGCAATGAACAGAGCGCCAATCCATCCACCTAGGTCAGTGTTCTGCTTGTCACTGAGCTCCGTCAGCTTCTGGCTGCAGGGACCTCTATCCAGAAGATTCAACAAGAAGGAGTTGCTACTGGAAATGCCAAGGTCTGACGGGCTGAGGTCATAGCGGTATTTAAAGGCAAGTACCAGTAGAAGAATGCTACCGAATTCATCATAGACCGGTTGATTCTCACTTTGTTCCTCATCCCACCGCCAGGTATCCAGAAGGTCACAGAGAGGTTGCAAAACCTGCCTCGTGGTCCTGAATAATAAGACAACATCGAGAGCTTGTGGGCGTCGGGAGAGCGCATTGCAGATGCCCTTCAACGCGATCGTCTCTCGGCCATGGCAAAGAGTAAACATGACCTAATTTAGATTTAGCCATGGACCACATTTATCACTGCTGACCTACTTACCTCGGTAATCGCACCAACGATCGCACCCGCATTACCCTCCATAGACTCAATCTCGCCAATCAATTGATCAGCACGGTCTGGGTGACTGTTGATCTGAGAAATCAGATCGTCCTTCTGATATGGGCCTCCAACAGGCAGTGTTTGCATGGGATTTTCTCCTAGAAGACGCTCAATGCTGGACTCTGGGATGAGCCTGTGAGCTGCACAGGCGAATAAGAACTCTTGGCGGGCATCTGAAAGGATGCTGTTGCCTTGCATCGAAAACATTTGGGAGAAAGAGGGAAACAAATTGGGATCCAACCGGTTTAATGCTTGGCTGACACAAATCTCCACATTTATCGGAACCATGGCAGCGGCCGTCATTGCGGCAAAAAACGCGGGCAGCTTGTTGACTAGGAATGATCTGAAAAGGAACATCGTCCGACTAGATTCATTGCGATAGACACCATTGGACAAGACATCAAAGGCAGCCGTAATCATTTCCTCGATAAGTACCTCCTGGTGGCCCTCATATCGATTGGTGAGATAATTGAGGAGCATAGAGTCATCGACCAAGGGCCGGCCGGCGAGCATGGAATTCAAATACACATAGATGCCAGCTCTAGTGTTAATGATCGGACCATCCATGACAGACCCCTCGAATTGAAGAGCATTGACATTCAAGCCATCAATGCCGGAATGATCTAATGGCTTTGAGGATTGCTCCCCATATAGATTGAATTCTTTCTGCAGTGCATCCAGCCGCTGACGCAGAGGCAACGAAACATCCACACAGAGAGGAATATAGGCGGAGAGGGCCTGGCCCAGTTTCTGTTTCAGACCCTTCATTACACCTTTTTGTGAGTCGCTGGAAAGCGTTTCCACGCCCTTGGCGGTGCCCGACAGCGCAGCAAGCAGAATCCCGATCGACTCAATTAACGAAACTGCGTCAGGGGAGCTCATCAAACCACCCATATGCTGCGGTGAGCCCATATTGTTTTTATGGGACGAAACGACCGCAAATATCCACTCTACGGTGGCAGTGTAGAGCTCCGCAGCTTCATTGGCAGACCGCGGGATGGCCCCAGTGGAGATAGAAAGCATGACGTCCCCGATGACCTTGATATCAGTCATAAGCGTAGAGGTTTTGCTCCGATTTCCGTTTTGGTCGTGAATTGAAGAATGCTTGAGCACACTCGTCAACGCCGAAGACGCCTTGATCTGGCCAGCCTTGCAAAGCCCGTCGACGTAAACAGGCAGGAGTGGATCCCAGGTGATGGTGGAGGCGCCACGCGCCTCAAGGAGCATATCGAGTAGCTCATCCTCTTTTACTGGAGAACGCGTGAGCATCAATTTGGATAAGTCTTTGAACTCGTCGACATCTACTCGATGCGCTAAACATTGGTGGAGGAAGGTCCTCCACTTTTCGGGAGACGCCACATCTTGCAGCATTTTGAGACCATGCGCATACCAGACGACAGATCAAATTATAAGATGAGTATTTATAACATCAGACTGATGCCGGGCATTCTTGCACCTGGCCGTGGATCAGGTCAAGATCATCGTCAATGATTGGGCCGAGGGATGGCGTCTGTTTGTTGGTCACGTGAACTCGTGTATGAACGATCACGTGGATTCGTGCGTATTCGATGCCAAGTTGGTTATGCCGACTGGCGAACATGTCATGATGGGGTGAAGCTCCCTTAATGTCACTACGATTGAAGCATTTTGACAAAAGGGGGTGCAACTTGGAAATAATTACCTCAAATGCATCATGTTTTTTATTACAACCCACTACTGTTTATTAGTCCAAGAAGCGTGGAAACTCATTCATGTCGAAGCGACGCGTCGCGGTACCAAAAAGTCTATGGTCAGACATCGCCTGGGTTATGGGCAAGGTCGATGAGCTCTATAAAAGGAACTTGATCAATTGTTCTACAGTACAGGCAAATCTACCTAATATGTTCAAAGAACTACAGGTCTACAGGTAGGAGAATAATTAATTGGAATACTTCATTCAATTTCATAATCGTCATGACGATCCCAAAGCAGACGAAAAGCCAAATGCTCAAAGTGGGAATATCATCAAATGCAAAAAACATAACCGGCGCCTCTATCCAAAACCCGCTCGACATAATTCGGAATAATAAAATGCGTCAAAACCGAACCTGATCACTCAGGATACAGTTATGAGGAAACAGGATCATCACTTTTTTAAAGAAAGAAACTTTTTGTGATGATGACTGATTTACCACCAGTCACCGTGGTCCTTCATGGCCTCAGCAACCTTGGTGAATCCAGCAATGTTGGATCCAGCAACGAGGGAGGGAAGGGAGCCCTCGGCGGGGGTAACGTACTCCTGAGCGGTGGCAAGACCGTTCTTGAAGCAGTCCTCCATGATGTTCTTCAGGCGGTTGTCAACCTCCTCGCGGGTCCAGTTGATGCGAGCGGAGTTCTGGGCCATCTCGAGACCGGAGACAGCGACACCACCGGCGTTGGCGGCCTTACCGGGGGCGTACCAGATGGCAGCGCCACCCTGGTTAGCCTCACGGTGGGCCTCGAAGACATCGATAGCCTCCTGGGTGGAACCCATGTTGGAACCCTCAGCGATGAACTTGCAGCCAGCGGCGATCAGGGCCTTAGCCTCGTCACCGGAGACCTCGTTCTGGGTAGCGGAGGGCAGGGCAACGTCGATGCGACCGACGATGTTGGTCCAGGGGCGAGCACCGGGGATGTACTTGAACTTGGAGCTGAAGGCAGCGGTGGAGGCGAGCTCGGCGATCTGCTTGCGCTCGACCTTGATGGCGGCGATCTGGTTGATCTCCTCCTCGGTGAAAGAGCCCTCCTCGCCGGTGAGGACGAGAGCACCCTGGGAGTCGGAGAGGGAGATGACGGAACCGCCGAGCTCGATGACCTTGAGGGCAGCGTACTGGGCAACGTTACCGGAACCGGAGATGGCGACGCGCTTGCCGGCGAAGGACTCCTTGCCGCCGGAGGCGTGCTTGATCATGTGCTCGGTGTAGTAGACGACACCGTATCCGGTGGCCTCGGGGCGGATGAGAGAACCACCCCAGCTGCCACCCTTACCGGTGAGGACACCCTCCCACTGGTTGCGGATCTTCTTGTACTGGCCGAACATGAAACCGACCTCGCGACCGGTGACACCGATATCACCAGCGGGGACATCAGTGTCCTGACCGATGTGCTTGCAGAGCTCGGTCATGAAGGAGACACAGAAGCGACGGATCTCGTTGTCGGACTTGCCCTTGGGGTCGAAGTCGGAACCACCCTTACCACCACCCATGTTGAGGCCAGTCAAGGCATTCTTGAAGATCTGCTCGAAACCGAGGAACTTCAGGATGGAAAGGTTGACGGAAGGGTGGAAACGGAGACCACCCTTGTAGGGGCCAAGAGCGGAGTTGAACTGGACACGGAAACCGCGGTTGATTTGGACCTAGATGGCGATCGATTGTCAGCCGGAATGCGCTTCCAAGGTTTTGGGGTAAGAAAAAGAGAGAGAAAAAAAAAGTTACTTGTAACTTTAAATTTTTTTTTCTTTCCCTTTTTCCATTCTCAATGACGACATACATTGCCAGCATCATCCTCCCAGACAACACGGAACTGAACAATGCGCTCAGGGACGGAGACAACCTGGAGGGCCTTGCGGTACTCAGGCTTCTTCTGGAAGAGGGTGGAGTTCTCGAGGGTGGAAGCAAGCTCTGTTCGGGAAAACGATATGATTAGCTGAGAACTTGCCGAAAGTCCACTTGCCGAGGAAGCCGAATGGATAAAGGATTAAGTCGGGGAGATAGAACCCGATCAGAAAAGATAATGGAGGGGCAATGGAGGGGTATTGGAGGGGCAATCCCAATGTTGGAGGGGTAGTAAAAAAGAAATCATTTGATTTCAGATACGGAATGATAAAAGTCACATACCCTTGTAGGCCTGCTCGAACTCGGGCTCGGAGGGGAGGTTCTGGGCAGTCATTATGGCTGATATATTTTGAAATCGACTCTTGGATTGACCTTCGGGTATATATTGATCTTTAGATCAAGTTGTATTAAGATGGGAAGGTAAGAGCGTAGGTGAAGGAAAGGAAAGAAAAGACGGGAAAGCCAGAATTATATATACAGGTGATGACCGAAGAGCAATGGAGTGGGGTAGGAGAAAGGACCGGAGTCGGACGAGAGAATCCGGACAACGTGACGGGGAAGGAAGAACGGGAGTTGAATGGAGAGAGCGATGGTTGCACAGCGAATACCCGGGCAGTTTCTTGGGAGGATTGGACATGGTCTGGTTTCCGTGGGAAGAACGTCCGAAGTTCGGGGGGTCCACTTGGCTCAGAGCTGAGTTCATTGGAGTTTCTAATTTTTATCTTATGCTTTAAGGTCACAGAAATATGGGCTTATCTTGCTGGTGGCGGCACACTCTACTTAGCTCCCGCTAATCACAGTCACCGAATGGTCATTCCCGCTGGGCTCCACCATCTTCCACTTTGCTCGTTCCGTGTCAAATTCGTGAAGTCGTTAATTGATGGGGAATTATCGGATCGGTCCTCTCCGACTTGACGATAATTGGCCTTGGCTAACTGAAAAAAATAAAAATTCCCCTAATCAAGCCTTCATGGATTGGACTTTATTTCCCATGTCTTCTTCTCTTATGTCGTATAGACCACGGTGGTAGTAAGAATTTCCTACAATGTAACCTAGCAACTTTGGAAAGAGCGAAAAGAAAAAAAAAAAAGACCCTCGAAATGCGGAGAACGGAACACGATGCATGACGCAGTGATATATGCCAGGATCCTCTCAATCCCAATATGCTGTACACTCTATATACATCTCAGGAGATTTACCTTTTTGAACCAATTTTCTCATTTCATTATTTTTCCACTCCGCCACCGACTTCCTACTTCGGAGCCAAGACTGGGAAGAGGGCGCAAGGCGTCACGTGACCCTGTCCTGCAAGCGGCGAATCACACATTCTACCGTGTCCCCCACCACCTTATCTACTAACTTTGTCAATTCTTTTTCATAACCGTTTGACTCACAGGAAATCATGCTGCCTTTTCACTGGTAAATACTCGTCAATACTTTGGTTATCGCCTCCCCGGCCATTTCCCCCTAAATTTCCGAATATTAAATCCCAATCTCGGCATTTCTCCCCACAAGCCTTCCGTGAGGGTGGAGGGGTAAAATAGAGGGGGCTGAAGGGCTGAAGAGGGGTTCACCTCCAGAGAGGATCTGGAGACCATCATTCTTATACTCGGTTTATCCGCGGAGCCAATTTCCAACCTTTTAGAAGAATCAATATTGTATTAACTTGAGTGTTTGTATACTACTAGTAATCAATGAAGTAAACAACCATGCACCCACGGGTGCATGCTCACGCATGCACTAGCGCTGGCATTGTTATCCGGGGCTTGACTTTGTCAGGCACAGATATCGTGTGCCAAGGATCCCTATCAACCCTATTTGCTGTGCCCGAGCGTCGGAACCTTCAAGTTAGTGTGCACCCCGGTGAGTGGGTTAGGCTGGGGAACACGCTCAATATCGGCGGCAACGGCGTCCAACACTCTTGCCACTGGGGATTGTTGTCATTTTGCCGGTTGCCTTCTTATTGACCACGTATTCTATACTCTCAAACTCTCCTTCTAGTTTACTTCTTTTTTTACTTTTCCTTCCCCTCATTGCACACCAATCCCCCCTCAAAAGACCGGCATGAGGCTGATATTGCCTTTTGCCTTCTACCCCTTCGCCTCCAAATAATCCGCATGGTTGCCTTTTACAAGTGCACGTGTTATAATCCGATTGACTACTATAACTAAAGAACAAACTTCTCAAGCAATAAATATGGTGGCAAAGAAGAAATCACCCCGCTATTAATTGATAGACTTCACTGCTGTATGGGGTAGTTAAGATGCGCGTAGCACATGCCAATCTCACCACAACCTTTGCACTTGCAACCACCACAACAAAAGAACCAGCCGACAACGGAGACCCCCTGTAGTCCATATGCAAACTACTGCAATGTCCAGATTTCCCGGTTCCCCGAACAAAAGGCGGGACCAAACCCTCTTTGGAAAGATGGAACGAGTTCCGATTTGGATCCCAATCTAGCTAAGCTTCTATCTAGTCTCTGCTGACTGGGACTAGCTTCCTCAACCCTGGTTAGTGGACACATGGTACGTGCCCAGGTGCTACTTACTGCACGTGCGCTAATCTTATCAATCTTTGGTCCTAATTGGTACATTTAGTGTGTCAGGGTTTGTTGCATTTGGCTGGATGGCATATATAATAAGGTTTGATTTAGGCTATTTGAGGCTCTTTGCATATTTGAGCAAGTACATCATTTATGGCCTGCCATTCACCAGATTCACCGCTTAATTGATTATCGTGGACATTCTGATACACTGCACATGTTGCGCTTTGTACTCCCAAGGTTATGGGTTTGGA